AGGTCCTCTTCAGTTTCAGCAAGCAGGGTTGTGTCATCCGCATAACACAGATTGTTGATAGATCTTCCACCAATCTTGACCCCACATTTCTCCTCATAGAGCCCAGCCTCCTGGATAATCTGTTCTGCATATAGGTTGAAAAGGTATGGAGATAGGATGCATCCCTGGCGTATGCCCTTCCCAATTTTGAACCATGCAGTGTTCCCTTGCTCTGTTCTGATGACTGCCTCCTTAGGGGAGGGTAAACTCTTCTGCCCTATGCCATTTTGGCATAGTCTGTAGGGAGCTTTGCTAATAATAAAAAAAGGGGCATTGTCCTCCTTTTCAGCCTCCAGAAACCCACTGGAGGGTCAGCTCTGAGTTGGTTCTGACTTCACAGCAAGGAGTCAGGGTTTTTTAGTCCCCTAAGGAGCCCTGGTTATTCCGTGTGTAACGTATTTGCTGTTAACCCAAAGGGTGGCGTTTTGGATCCACCAGCTACACCAAGGGACAAAGATGAGATGGATAATTCCTTCCCAGAAAAATTTTGTTGTTGTTTTTGTTGTTGTTAAGTGCCATCGAGTTGTAGATGACCCATAGCGACCTTATGAACGAAAGTCTTGAACACAAAACTTTCATCTTTTCTCCAAGTTCATTAAGATTCCGGAGCCAAGCTTTTTTGAAAGTGGATGCCACTCCTGCTTCCAAGCTTGTTTTATTTGGGAGATCCACAAAAAGCCTTTTTAAATAGGAGGCCAAATCCAATGAGCTCACATCCTATTATGAACAAAAGCCACACCCTAGTCTCAACCCCAAACCCAAAAACACACCTTAGCAGAATCCGGAGTTCTGCTCATCTTCCCAGCCGGAAATAGCCCTCCAGAAAGATTTACAGCCTCAAAAACCTGGTAAGGGGTCTCTCTGAGTTTTAACAGACTCAAGGACAGTGAAGAGTGGTGGTATCTGATTGCCTCATTTGCATAGTCCCGCCCTGTCAGATGGTGAGAGTTAACAAGCTGATGGCTAGAAGGGTCATGTTGAGGAATTCACTGTTCGGCAGCTATCTATAGACTCACTGACTAGTCTCAACAAACGTATTCCCAGTATAATTGCAACAACAAAAGATCTAGCTTCAGGATTTTGGGGTGTTGGAGACAAAATATATGTTTTCTTCCACGTCACCCTTTGGTGACCAGGGCAAGGGTGACTCCTCAAATGATGACTATTTAAGCACTGTATTCATTTCTTTGACCTGCTTGGTAGCTTAAGATTTATTCTCTTGTAACTCTGGAGATCCTTAGAAGCTAGACTGGTGAGGCTTCGTCTCATGTACTCTGGGCATGTTATTGGGAGGGGACAGTGTCTGGAGAAGTGTCCAGATCCCTGCCTGCAAGGAGCAACTTGGTTTCACTCTCTTCAGGACAGATCTGATTGTTGTTCTCTTGTCAGTTTGATGATATGTTCTTGGCAGTTCCATGGTATGTTCAGGACTCTTCCCCAGCACCACAACTCAAAGGCATAGATTCTTCTTCTGTCATCCTTAGTCATTGTCCAGCTTTCAAAAACAGCAAGCAATTGAGAATACCTTGGCCTAGATCAGGTGTACCTTAATCTCTAGACTGATACTGTTGCTCTTTAGCATTCTGGAGATGTCTTTGACAGCAGATTCTCCTAATGCAACTTGTCTTTTGATTTCTTGACTGCTGGTGCCAAGGGATTGTGGATCCAAGCAAAATGAAATTGTTAGCAATCTCAATCTCTTTTTTGTCTATCATGATGCTGCCTATTGGCCCAGTGGTGAGGATTTTTATTTTCTTGATGTTGAGGTGCAATCCGTTTTGAAGACTGCAATCCTTGACCTTCTGCACCACGTACTTCTGGTCCTCTTCAGTTTCAGAAAGCAGGGTTGTGTCATCTGCATAACGTAGGTTGTTGAAGAGTCTTCCTCCAATCCTGATGCCACATTCCTCTTCGTACAGCCCAGCCTCTCAGATGATCTCTTCAGCATCTAGACGGAAAGGATTCATCCTTGACACACACTCCTTTCTTGATTTTGAACCATGCAGCATTCCCTTGCTCTGTTCACACAACGGCTGCTTGGTCTAGGTATAGGGTCCACACGATTACAATCAAGAGTCGTGGTATTCCCATTCTTCTCAATATTAGCCACAACTTGTGATCCACACAACCTTGGAAACAACTCTGAGGCAGTTCCACCTGTGGGAAGTTCTACTTGTTGTTTCTCTGTGGCTTAATCTACCGGATGTTGGCATGTGGGGGGTGTGTGTGTGTGTGTGTGTGTGTGTGTGCGCGCGCGCGTGTGTGCGCACGTGTGTATGTGTGTGTGTGTGCACGTGTGTATGTGTGTGTGTGCGCGTGTGTGCGTGCGTGCGTGTGTGTGTGTGTGTGTGTGGTGCCCTCACTGCTCACAAAAGATGGGCTTTTAATCCGCCCAAAGTCACTTCAAAGAAAGCACTGGCGATCTCGTTTGGAAAATCTACCACTGGATGTGGAACCGCCGAGTCACTGTCGATTCCACAGCAATGGGTTGCTTGGCCTGCTCATCGGACATCGATTCTCCCGAATCCAGCGCTCCCTCCTCTTAACTTGATCATGTCACTGGTGACCTACCTGAATGCAAGGCCACCTTCTCAGGCACCCGGGCTAGGCTTAGGATGTCTTTTTGGAAGACACAGGTAAGATGATGAAGAAGGTGGGGGAGAGAGCTGAAGGTGGGGGGAGATAATAAAGAGCCCATCTCCCAGAAGGTCCTGGGCAATGCTTAAAAGAAACCCATTTGAAAGTCACCCAGCGAGGATGGGTGTCTGCTTTGTCCGCCCACAGGCCTGACCCGGCGGGGAGGGGCAGAACAGAGAATAACAATTGTCTCAAGGGAGTCTGCAGAGGGAGAAAAACCTCTGGGGTGTTTCAGTGGGGAAAGAATAGGCGTCTCAGTGTGGCCCCTCTCCCCCCTCTCAGCCCGGCCCTCCGGGGGGAGCAGTGGTCAGCACACACAGCTGGGCCCATTCTATATATCTAAGCGCAGCGGCTGGGGAGAGCGGCCCCCAGGGGAACAAAACTTCATTGTGAGGTGGCCGCCAGCCTGGCCCCCCCTCCCCCAGCCCCAGAACTGTCGTGGCATTGACCCTCCTCCGTGGCCACCAGGGGCCTGCTGACTGGGTCACATCTGGGGCTCAGGCGCTGGCCGCCCCTCCCCCATGGCTGGCACTTGGGGGGTCCGGAGATGGAAGGCGTGAGCAAGCTTCTGGGGAGTCAGGCTTCCTGTGCCCATCGCCACTGGACAGCTCAGCTCATTCTCCACCTACCGCTGGGGTCTCTATCGTGTACAGTTCAAGTGTGGCTATGTTGGCAACTTGCTATTCCAGACAGTTGCCCTCCCCAGAACCCCCAAAGCCTCTGTTCGGTGGTCTGTGAAATCAGCCTATGGCAGGGTGGGGTGGATTTTTCCAGCTCTGCTGTACCTGCGTTCTTCATAGGCGTTGGGCTGAGCCCCGCCGTCTCTGGCTCTGGGATCCCAGAATTCTGTGCCTTTGAGGCTGTGAGGTAGAAAGATGTTTTTGTCCGTTCCTTTGACACATACTCATCGAGCACCTACTGTGTGCCAGGTGATGATGTCCTTGCCACTGAACTGACAGTAGTGAGCACTGTGGAAGAGCCCTTGGCCCTCAGAGGGCTTCCATTCTAGAGCCAAGAGATCGAGCCAAAAACAAAGTAAAAATCAAATTCACAAGTGGTCAGGAAGAGTGAGGGAAGTTCCCAATTCGGGGATTCAGGCAGGGGACACATGAGCTAAGGTGTGATGGACAAGGACCACAGCAGATACATGGAACAGTGCTCGCCAGGGCCCTATGGTGAGTGTGGGCCAGCGTGTGGACTGACGTCACAGAGGCCTGGTGAGAGGGTCAGATGACCCAGGGCTCCAGAGACCAGGGCAAGAACCTTAGAGATTATTTGACTGGTTAGAAGAGAGAGAGTGCGTCTGGGTGTGAAGGAGCTGAGGGGTGGCAGACAAAAGAGGAGGCCGTTGGTTGCCGGTGGGTTTGAGCAGGACACACTGGGAGAGAGACTATTCCTCTCATTGCACCAGCCAGTGAAGCAGGGATTTCAGCGTTAGCCAGGATTCTTCTCAACTCCGTCTTTGAGCTGACTGAATCCTTAGGCCTGTGGCGGTCCATATGCAGCTATTTAAATGGGAAGAAGTAATAAACTAAGGAATGAAATGTCAACATTGCTAAAATGAAAGAAACTAACAGGTTCATTTAAACTAATAAACTAACTAAAAAAAAATGGCACGACTTTAGTTCCTCAACCTCAAAACTCACATTTCTTTTTTATTTTTACATTTTTTTCTTCCCCCCCTTTTTTAAACAATTTTTTTTTACTTAAATAGCATTCAGTTTATTACAAATATTTAGTATTGGCTTCCCATATTCCCCCCTTTTGTTTTTATCATAATTATGTTATCATCTAAATGAGCATCCTTTATACACAAATTAAACATAATAAACTCAAAAGAAATACTTTCAAAAATCTCCATCTGGTCAGAAGGATTCAGGTTGAATATTCCTTGAAAGTTTGTTTTAATTGCCCCATTGCCACAGTGCTTGTCCAAACCAGTTCAGATCGTCAAAGAGTCACCTTGGTCCTCTTTATCTTTGTTCTCGAGTTGGAACCCTTGGAGCCACTGGTAGACTCGAACCTGTGGCTACCACATCGGCAGGTGGAGGCTTAGTGACACATAGTAAATGTTCATCAAAGGGGGGGAGTGGATTGCTATTTCTGGGAGCTCTGGGGCCTAGCAATAAGAAGCAACCCCAAAGGCACGGCTTTGAATCCACCAGCAGCTCTGCGGGAGAAGGATGGCCGGTCTCCTCCCTGGAGGGGCCGCTGTGGGTCAGCTCTGACTCAATGGCAGGCAACAACACTGCTGTTGCTGACTCGCTGGGCTGGCGGCGGTAGAGGTGTCGCTGAGACCTGGCTGTGGACCCCTGAGGTTGAGAATGCCGCCGCTTGCCCAGCGGGAGGGCGGGGAGCCCAGGCCGCTGTCACTCCGGGCCTGGCGCGCGCTGCCTGGAGGAGGTGTGCGCGCCGTGTCTGCGCGGGGCTGCGGCGCGGCCGGCCGGCAG